AAACCCCCAGTGATTGTGAATATATATATTGTTTAACATGGCAAGTTTGTGCTGTTTATTTGAGCTTAGGAGGTGTTTCAGCTGAGAATTGGATGTCACTCAAATGTCTGTCAGTCACATCTGTCAAATCAGATTTTCACACCAGTGTTTGTAATAAAGTGGATGGTGAGTGTTTGCTGGCAGGAAAAAAAGAATCAGAGCAATTTAGTCAACTTTTTTGATGCTCCTGTTTTGAGCTCGTCCTGTATCACTATGGATTTCTGAAGTGCACCAGGCACGCAGCTACAGATCTGCTAACAACATTCCTCATTCCATGTTTATAGTCTCTGGCCAGGAGCTTCCATTATGCCGTCTGCTTTCAGTTTCTCTGAGCAGAGATTCCGCTTCTGGTTCAGTGGTCTCGGCTTGTGTCGGGGCAGAAATGTCTCTTTCATAACTATGACAAATCAGTCCGTCTCTGCTGACTGTCAGATCACCGTACTGTTGCAAACTGTGCGTGAGACAGAATGTGGCGTTACCGTGGCAACCTACATCAGAACTCTCTATTTTCTTTGTTTTAACATGAATGCAAATTAGACATTGGAATCGAATATGAAAGATTTACACTCACCACTGACTTTATTAGAAACTCCCAACTTGTACTTCACTTTATGAGTCCACTTTACAGCTCCACTGTACAGGTGAACAATTACAGACTGTAACTCATCTGACAGTGTGCAATTTAGCACCCTCTCGCTTTCATCATTGGCCAGTTTCTGACCACAGGACTGCTGTTGATCACATGGGCACTGACAAAACTGAGAAATTGAGAATGAGGTCATAAAAAACTCACAAAAATACGGTTGTGCGCAAAAGTTTGGGGTTCCCTGGTCAATTAACATGTTTTGCTGATTCTCTAAGTAAAAACGAGTTAAATGTGGATTTTTTTTTGCAAATTTTAGTGCAAATTAAAATTTGTTTATTTACTGATGAAAAATAAAATAGAAAATAGAAAATGTGTCAAAACTTTTCCAAACTTTTGCATTGTAAACAGATAATTACAGTGTATGATGTTACTAATCATTTCATAACCTGTTGTTCTTGGACTTAAAATAGTGAAGAAATCATTGGAAAGTACCTTCTGGTGCTTAAATTGATCATATTTAAATCTAAACTGTATGAGTTAATTGAGCTATAGAACATTTGAGTTTGTCTGTTATTGTAAATAGCATATTTATGATAACATCCAACCTTTTCTTCTTATATGCTCAGCAAAATAAGAAAAAAGTAAAGCAAAAAAGCCTCTAACATTGTAGCAAATGTGCTTTAATATTGGCAGTTCCTTCTGCCAAAAAGTAGTAGCCATTTTTGTTACACATAGTGCCATAAAACTGTCACAATATCAGGTTCAGCTTTTGTAGTAATTTCCAGATTCGCCTGAATGTCTATTTGTTCCAGCCAGTCTGTAAAGCATTTCACAGCCATCTTGTTTTCCAGATTGTATTCTGGTAGTATCTGGCTAATTCCAGTTTTGTTATATTTATTCTGCCATCAACGAGCTGCAGGTCAAACATACTCTTATAAAAGTTATCTAATATGTTAATTTACTGTTTTGTATGTGCTAAAGTAGAAACTTAGTCATGGTTAGCGGTTAGCAGTGCAAAGTGAGTCACTACATGGAGTTATCACAAATAACAACACGTCTAGAACGCTCCTCAACCAATCAGACTGCGCCATCAAAAGTAACTGTTGTGTATATTATTGTATACAGAATAGCAAAACTGATTAACCTGACATGTGATTCCAAACCTTTGAGCTGTTGAGTAAGTGATTTAATCATTGGGGGGGTTTGACAAATGAGAGTAGCTTTCATGAGCATATGCACACACACACACACTTACACACACACACACACACACACACACACACTTACACACATAAACAATCTGCCCTGCCTCTTCACTGTACATAGTAATTCAATTTTCCACATCACTGCTTGGGCTAATTCAACGACCAGTCTCATATACCCTCTGTATTAACAAATATCTGTGTGTGTGCATGTTTGTGTGTTTGAGAGAGAGAGAGAGAGAGAGAGAGAGAGAGAGACAGCGAAAGAGGTGTTGTTGTAAGTTATTATGTTTGATTTGCTATTCTATTCAACTGTAATTACATAATTAAGTACATTTACATTGGATTTACACCCTATATTTCCAGCCTTGAGTCTGCACTTCTGACTTTGCTGCTTTGGTTTCAAACTAGGACAAAAAATGGCAAAAAATGTATGTTTTTAGATGTCCAAATGCTCCACCTTGCCATTTTATTCTTGTTATTATTATTATTATCTTAAGCTGGCATGTGAAATGCTCTTATTCCAGGTGAATGTTAAGTTTACTAGCTCAACATCTCACAAATCAGGAGTATATTGGCAGATTCCACCACTGCAGTGGGCAACTGTTTGTTTGTTTGTTTGTTTGGGCAAATGTTGTTTGCTTTAACCCTTAAAATGTAACTGTTATTGATATTTAAATGTTAAGTACACAGTTACATAATTATGAATGCTAACACAGTGAGTTACGTTTGCATTCAGTTTATCTCCTGTATCAAAAAGTCTGCAATTGTTTTTTGTTTCGATGTCAAACTAGGACAAAACATGGTAAAAATGTAAGACATGCTTTTTAGACTTCCAGACGCTCCACCTTGCAAGCAAGAAACAGGAATGGGGCTCTCTGCATGCACATTTTTAAATTAGTTGAGGCTCCTGACTGAGTGGCGCAGCCATCCACATGAAATTTTGGCAAGTGATATAATCTTAAATCATGTTGATATGTCAAATGTCTCTCAGATTTTTGTCTGCCGATACAGTGCGATAATTTTATGTAGAGTAATGCAGAAGTAATTAGTAATGAGATCACTTTTTCTAGGAGGTAATAAAGTAATGTAGTCCTGTGACATTCTGAGAGAAGTAATTAGTATCTTAGCAATGCTTACTTAGAAGTAACTTCTCATAGATTACTTTTTTGACTGAGGGGTTCGGCTGCATTGAAATTGCTGAAAATAACCACTACAATCTCAAATTCCAGCTACTTATATATATATATATAATATATATATATATAATATATATAATATTTCAGAATGGGTTATTTAACCTCTTAAAATCCCAAGCTTATTACATTCTAAGGCTTATTATTCAGTAACTACAGGGAGTTCAGTGCAAACAGGCTGAGCTATTCTTAGGTTATAAAAGTGTGTAATAAAACTTTGGGCCTGCTGGTGGGCCTTGGCCTTTATCAGGGTTAACAGAAAAACAGTGTCTAATTGTATTTTCATAGGGTCCTTGCTCATGTTGAACCCAGGCAGCTGCCTACCTTTGCCTAGTGCAGTGGCTCCCAGCCCTCAAGTATCTCCTACCCTGCAGATTTCAGGGCCACGGTGTACTTGCTTTTGACTACACTAATGCGTGTGCACACTTCGGCTGTGCGAGCAGCACATACTCACTCACGTAGCTATTGTCTATCTGGAGGACTAAAAGTCTTATCCCCTAGGGGGCAGTTAAGGGCCAATAAATCCCCAGTTGCCACTGCAACTTGTTTCCATTTATGTTTGCAAGTTTCAATGTTTACAAAACATAAACAAAGTGTCAGTGATTTAATGCTATGTGTTCCAGCAAGCGTATTTATCGCTGTGGGGGGGGGCATAGAAATGTTATACAAATGCGGGTAGTTGTGGACAAGCTCTGTCAGCCTCTCTTTAAAAGTCTCTGCCACGGTCGCCATTGTTTACGGTTTGTTCAGTGTGCTGCTGACGTCACTCATCCTATTGCGGTATACTGTCTGTACTGTTTATGCTGGCATTGTATCTGGCAGACAAGCTTCGTTAATTTTGGAGGACGTGCACTGCCAACTCTTCAACGGAACACAAGATGCGTGAGGCAGACGTGTTAAAAGCAAGTATATCATGGCCCTTAGTGTTTCCCCTGCGCCCTGATCCAACTAATCAGCTTATTAACAAGCAAAATTGACGTGGCTGTGTTATAGAGCAGGAAAACACTACATTGTACACCAGGACCAGTTTTGGGAATCTGTGGCCTAGTGCAAAGACCACCCCTCATCACTACAGTCGGTATTAATTCCAAATGTTTTTTTTTTCAAAGTCTAGCATTCTTACAGTCATTTTGATGTACTATTTAACTGTAATTACACAATTATGTCATTAATCACAATGACCTACATAATTATATTTGCATTCAGTTTACATTCGGTATTGAGTTCAAATCATGAAGTATCTCCTCTTCTACTTATAAACACTGTCCACTAAAAAAACTGTCCACTGAAAGTTTCGATTCTGCTCTCTCCACAGAATTTCTCCCCTTGATACAGTGAACTCGGTGTGAGAAATTATGAATATTAAATCACACCCTGCTTTTATTACATCCAGAGATAAGAGTTAAACAGATTTGGAGTCAGCTCTTACCCCTGTCACATCTACACTACACGCTCACCACTGACCTCCACACAGTCTGATTGGTATTGCAGTTCCTCATTCATCATGACCCCAAACCATAAAGTCTTTTACATTCAATTTACAAGAGCATCCATCTCATTTGTCTTTCCACATATGGAGGGAGGGAGCCAGACGAGGGAAATGATGCGTTTTAAGAAAAGAAGGTGCGTGGGGGGATGAGAGGGAACGAGTGTTCACAATGTTCCTGAAACATGGCAGGCGGACAGGGCAGTGGTGGGTGAGATGCTGTGTGACTGATCATGTCATAAAATGTCATAAAGTATGGTTATGAGAGGTTGTGCGTAATATGCTGCTGAGAAAATGGCTGACAGAATAGATGGAAATGAAGGAAAATGGGAAAAAAGAATGAATGCTGTCCTTCGTAACCATAACATGACCTTTTCTCTGTCCTAGTTTCAGTGTTGTAAATTATTCCCATGGCATTTCTGATGTGTTTTTGTGTTGTGTGTGTGTGTGTGTGTGTGTGTGTGTGTGTGTGTGTGTGTGTGTGTCTCCAGATGTTCGGAGGAAGACCATCTATGAGTATCATCGTGTGGAGCTGCTCAAGAACAAAATCACAAACAGCACAGCTGTGGAGATGATGCCTTTGCCCAGTAAGATGATACACACACAAACACACACACACACACACACACACACACACACACACAAAACACAAAATGTTTTATTCATAAAGGATATTCACACAGTACTGTACTAAAGTCCGAGACCCTCTTTCATTTATTTAATTTCCAGTCAAGAAGAATAAGTTATTCGTTTTCATCTTTCTGTGGATATGAAGTATCAGATAATCCATGTGGATAAGAAAGGGGAAAGTCAAAGGAAAAGTGCAAGTGAAAGTCGTAGACCACGTAAACTGTCCCCATCAGATAAACAGAACTTAAAGCTTTCATCTTTGAGAGAGAGGAAAAAATCAAGCTCCACTCTTCAGATCGGAAAAATCCACGAATATTTCTGTCCTTCCTTCCACTGTGAGAAGACAACACTGTGAGTCTGAAAGGATGTGTAGCTATCAAGAAGCTGTTACTGAGAAAAGGAACTAGACAGAAAAGAAACAAAGAAGCTGATGGTGTTCTCAGAACAGTGGGCTGACCACTCCAGAGTCCAGACTTCCGCATCACTGCATAGGTTTGCGAGTATTTGGATCGTGAGAAGCAGAAAATGCAGCCAACTTTGTAAAAGTGTGAAAAAGCTCCTCAGCAGGTTTCTTTAAAAAACTGAAAGCACGTCTCCTGAAAAGAGTGGAAGCTGTAATAAAAGCAAAAGGTGGATATATATATATATATATATATATATATATATATATATATATATACACATATATCGTATTTTGAGCACCCACATTTGCCTGTATTACAGCTTTCATGTGTATACATATATATATATATATTTTGTTAAAACGTCTTTTCTCATTTCTCATTTCTTGACCTGATTTCAGTGCTTATTTCTTAATGCTTGATTGGTGTGACCAGTGTGTCCTCTGTGATTTTCATGCCTCCTCATTTTCTATTCTCTCTCTCTCTCCTTAGCCTGTCTACAGTTCACAAGCTGCTCCACCTGCATTGCTGCAGAGATCAACTTCAACTGCAGCTGGTGCCACCGGCTCAACAGGTGACAACCATTCTGCCCTTTGAGAATGTTCTGAGACAGAAAGACAGAGATAGAGAGAGAGAGAGAGAGAGAGAGAAACAAATTCAGTTTCCCTGCAGTGCTTTCGTGGGGCCCTCCAGCTGCTCCTCAGAGAAAACTGAATTTATTTCTCCTCAGTTGCACTTTAAGAGTCAAGAGTCAAGAAAAACTTTGTCATTCTGTCCAAATACAAGTAAACAGTGGAGCAAAACAAGTTCCTCTAGGGTCTCAGCGGAAGACATCGAATAGAGGACCAGTGTTTACATCACCAAGCAGCACACAGCACAAGTGACCAAGACGTAAGCGCTGTTTTAGCTGGATCAGTTTTCATTTGTAAGGGATTAGACTGGCTGATTATAGCCCTGTTTCAGCTGTTAGTTTAGTTTTACCAGAGGAGGTTCTGTAATGTAATCTGTGCATGATTTGACTGGCTGATATGTACAGGATAAAAGATTTGTATAATTTCCCCAGATAATGTCATCATTGCACATCCATGTTACACGACAGGTGCCACTTTTGAACAATATGTCACCAAAAAACTCCAAAATATGGCCCTGGACAACACACTTCCTTCTCCTTGTAATTCATCACCAAAACACTTGTGGGTTTCAGGTCTCTCATCAAGAACTTGATGATTAACAAACTATGTCAAATTGAGCCAATTTTTGCAGTTAGACTTATCTCCAGGTCACAAAATAGAAAAAAGATGGAGGCACCATTTTCTGTTATCTAACTTGCTATTACCTTGTGGTAATATTGACTCAAACAGGACTACTATTACTGAGGAAGCTCTGGAAGTTAATCTTCAAATTGCAGCACCTTCCCAGCTAAAATTAACCCAGCACCAATAGGGCTGAAATATTAGTATCATCATATCTCTGATTCGCACATCAGCATTATACAACATGTACCACCACTACTATTGAAAGAGCTTCATGTTTGGTGAATAGCAGAAGGCAGTCTGCTTCATAATTAATCCTGTCAGACTGGAAAACCAGACTACACATGGTGCAATAAAACCTGCACAAGCAATGCTATTCTGTATGGGTGCAGTAGGTCAAACAAACCAGCCAACAGACCCCTCAGTAGCCCCGACACCCCATTGCTATGTCTAACAAGCTACTATAACAGCAGCATAGCATGGTAGACCACTTCAGCTAGAAGCATGCTATACAGTCAAGCTTATGAACAGTTTGTGTGGTAAATGTGGACAATCCAGAGAAAAAGTTTGTACTGTAATAAAGTGGTCAGTGTGGGGACGGGGCGGTCGGAAGGTTTTTGTTATATGTGGGTGTGTGGAGGGGCACACCTGGAGAATCCTGACAGGCTGAGGCAACAAGCTGTTGCAGTGAGTGATAAAACTGGCCCGAATGCTGAATACTTTCTTCTAGATGGAAGGAAGCAAAGAGTCTATGGGAAGGTTATCCAGTATAGGTGCATTTTCACAGCAGGAACCTTTTTCTAGGACCTTTTTCAGAAACCCAAGACATTTCTGATGCATTTTCGCAGCAGGAGCATTTGTCAGGAAACAGGAACGTTTTCTAAAACTTACGTTTGAAGCACTTTTTATTGCAGAAGCCATAAAGTCCTTTTTGAAATTTTTAGGTATTAAGGAAGGCTCAAACCTGAATCCACTGCGAGAACCTTTGAATGAACCAAAAACCTTTTTAGGTGCTAAGGAAGCCTTAGACCCAAATCTGCTGGAAGAAACTTTGAACCTTCTTGGAACTTATGAACTTTTAGTCATGTTTCCACTGATAGGACTTTCATGAACCATGAACTTTTTGGGTATTAAAGAAGACTAAGACCTTTATCTACCACTTCATGGCTGGGCTGTTGTTGCTTTTAGACATCTAGACCTCCATTTCACAATAACAGCACTCACAGTTGGCCAGAGCAGATCTAGCATGACAGAAATTTCATCAACTGACTTTTGGCGAAGGACAAACCACTTCATGACCTGGCAACTTTTCTTGGAACTTATGAATTTCTAGGCTTGTCTCCATGGGAAAGACTAAGGAACTCTTAGACATGTTTCCACCAGATAAAATTGTCATGATCCAGAAACTTCTTGGGTACTAAAGAGGTTTTAGAGGCATTTCCAATGGAAGAACCTTTTCATTAACCGGATACTAAGCCTGTCTTGGGCCCCTTTCCATTGGACAGATCTTGTCGTTTTTTGGAACTCATAAAGGTTCTAGAACTTTTTAGTTCCTCCTGCAGAGTACGTATTGTCTACAGACCAGGAACTATTGGGCTAGAACTTGCTGCACTGAATGTTACTGATTGGTCAGACAAAGGCATGACAGAACCCTTGTCTCAGCCATTTTTTTTAAATCTCAAGCCATCCATTTTATGTGAATACCAGCACACCAAGCAACAAAGGGCAGCCAGCTATAAAAATGTAAAAGTATCTCAAGAAAATTGCTTCAATCTCAGCTCCCTCCATGTTTGCTGCATTGCAGTTTTGTTGCATGCTGATGAAACAACCTTTATGCAGTTTGCATTATTTTACATAATGGCCACAGTTTCTCCAGTGCAGTGGGAGTGCAAAGCAGGAACGTCCTCTGGAACTGTATAGTGCTTGATCAGGACACTTCCAGAACTCTTTAGTTTCTGTGAACTTGGTGGAACTGCAACTTATGCTAGAGGCCTTACTAATGCAGCATTTGTAGAAGGTTTCTGGAACTGGGGGGAAGAAGACTCTGTTGATGTTCTAAGCTGTTTTCTCTGTCCTCTGCATGGTCTTACGATCTGTATCAATCTGTCACTTCATCCGAGTTTGAGTTTTCCTTCTCACTTTCCTACTTCTTCTCCTTGTGTGGAGTATGAACAGTCATTCAGAGATAACTCTGCTTTAGATCTGGCTGTTTCCCCCTCAGCTCTTTTCAGGGGGAAGAGTACAGTCCTTTATTTTGCTGACTCATGTACGCTCCTTCACCTCTCCACCTCAGACCTTTTCACTCACTCCTTCACATGAGAGCAGAGCAGCACTGAGAGAATAAAACACTCAGCATCAGAACTGAGGCTTCTATTCCTTTTGTTTAATCTCTCAGTCTGCTTGTCACTCTGTCTCTCTTTATCTGTGCGTGTGTGAATATATATATATATATATATACACACACACATTAATCTCTTTGTATACACTATATGGCCAAAAATATGTCGACACCCTTCCTAATTATTGAGTCACGTCAATTGCTAATAAGTGTATAAATTCCAGCACATAGCCATAGACTCCAAACAGTAGCAGTAGAATGAGCTTGGTGATGTTAAAGGTAGCACCTTTGCCACAAGTCAGTTAATGAAATTTCTGCCCTGCTAGATCTGCCCCCATAAAACTATAAATAAAGTGCTATTATTGTGAAATGGAAGCATCTAGGAGCAACAACAGCTTATCCATGAAGCGGTAGACATTCTCTGGAGTGATGAATCGTGCTTCACTATCTGGCAGTCTGATGGACGAATCTGGGTTTTGCAGATGCCAGGAGAATGCTACCTACTGGAATGCTTGATGCCAACAGTAAAGTTTGGTGGAGGAGGGATAATGGTCTGGGGCTGTTTTTCACGGTTTGGCCCCCTTATTTCCAAAGTAGGGTTGTGTTTTAGGCAATTATTTGATTCCAACTGTGGGGCAGCAGTTTGAGGAAGGTCTTTTCGTGTTCTCACATGACTGTGCCCCTGTGCACAAAGCGAGCTCCATAAATATATAGTTTGATGAGTTTGGTGTGGAGGAACTCCTGTGACCTGCACAGAGCCCTGACTTCAACCCTACCAAACACTTTTGAGATGAATTGGAATGTCGATTGCAAGCCAGGCCTTCTCCACCTTACATGTTCTTTTGACTGAGTGGGCACAAATTCCCACAGACACACTCCAAAATCTTGTGGAAAACCTTTTCAGATGAGTGGAGGCCATTATAGCCACAAAGGGGGGCAACGCCATACTAATGCCCATTGTTTTGTTTTCTTTTGTCCATATAGTGGTGATTCTTTCTTTCTTTCTTTCTTTCTTTCTTTCTTTCTTTCAGTCTGCTTCTTTGTCTTTCACTCTGCTTTTTTGTCTTTCTGTTTCACTCTCTGTCTCTCTGTCTCTAACCAATTTATTCATATTCTCTTGCATATTTCTGAACCTTAGCAACCTCTTCTGTTCTGTTCTGTTCTGTTCTGTTCTCTTCTCTTCTCTTCTCCTGTCCTCTTCTCTCTTCTCTTCTCTCCTCTTCTCTATTCTTCTCTATTTTTCTCCTCTCCTCTCCTCTCTTTTTATCTTCTCCTCCCTATTGTTCTTTTCTCCTCTCTTCTTCTTTTCTCTATTTTCATCTTCTCTCCTCTTCTCTATTCTTCTCTTCCCCTCTTCTCTTCTCTTCCCCTCTTCTCTTCTCTTCTCTTCTCTTCCTTTCTATTCTCTTCTCTTCTCCTGTCCATTCCTTTTTTCTTTTTATCTTCTCTTCTCTTTGAATCTCTGTGGAAGAACCGTACTTTACAGCTTGATGTGCTGTGCTTTCTGTTTTTTTAGCACGTCTGTTTGTGGTTCTTCATTGATGTTCTGTCAAAGCTGAAAAACGACTGTTCTGTTTGATTGATAGGGATTTTTTAAGATGGACGCACATGTCAGTCATCATTTTCAGCAGCATATCAGTTCACAGAGGCTGTAGGCTACAGTAAATAATGCATGACCCATATAGAACGTCTTCTCTGAGCTGAACACACACACACAACTCCACACACGCTCACAACTCGAGACTGAAATGCAGCTAGCAAAGCGCATTCTTTTATAATGATGCGCAAAGTTGATTTTCCATGCAGATGCACATTTTTTATGGCGAATTGTAACACTCGCGTAGTCGTAATTGCACGTGTGTGGAATCTGAAACGGCCACTTAACAGATGAATATGTGTTTAAATCCACATACAGCCTCCACTAAAAAGAACATAAGACACACTATTATCTGAAGATCACAAGACGCGAGTGTCTGTATTAAT